GTTGCTTTGGCCCCTTCGTCAACAGACATGGGCGAAGAGAGTACAAGAGATATGGGCTACTGTTCACCTGTCCGCGCTATAGAGCAGTTCACATAGAGTTATTAGATAATTTAACCACTGACACATTCATCAACGGAATGTGATGTTTCATCGCTATCCGAGGGAAGGTTCACCAGATTAGGTCTGACCAAGGCAGCAACTTCGTTGGAGCAAAAAAAAGAGAGAACTTCATGCAGCCATGAAAGAGGTTGACAGATATTGAAAGTAGCGGCCTATCTGGCTGGTCAAGATTGTGAATTACTCATGAATGTTTCCTCTTCCAGCCACATTGGAGGAGTATGGGAGCGCCAGATAAGGACAATAAGAAGTATCCTCAGTGGGGTTGTTTCACTTTGTCCGGGGAGGTTGGGTGATTCATCACTCCCTACACTGTTCTACGAAGCGATGGCCATAGTAAACAGCCGTCCACTGTCGGTTGATACTATCAACGATCAAAAAGGTTTGGAGCCTCTGCTACCTAATCATCTCCTTACAATGAAGTCAAGTGTCCCACTACCACCTCTTGGCAAATTCCTGCCTCAAGACATGTTTCCCCTGAAGCGATGGAGACTAGTACAATACGCCGCCGAACAGTTCTGGAGCATATGGCGCAAGGAATATCTTCAAAATCTCATTCGAAGGCAATGCTGGACCAAACCAGGAAGAAACATCACTGTGGGAGACAAAGTCCTGTTATCAGACACAGACGTCGCTCGGAAAAAGTGGTGCATGGGCGTGGGGGTCGACATCACAATCGACAAAGACGACTTCGTAAAGGAAAGTCAAAGTTCAAGTAGGGACAAGAAGATTGCGTCAACAAGAGAAGCGCAAGGAAAAGCTCGCCGTGCTGGAACGACTGGTGTAGAAGTTGGTACTTCTCCTGGAGATCGACAGCACTTGATTGCCCCTTCCCTCTTTTCTTGAGTCAGTCTTTTCACAATCAGTTCATAACTTGTTTATGTGGCCATGTAAGTTGTAACAGAATTACTCCTGATTTATTTTCCGCTGTTACGTTAAGAATGTGATTTACAAATCATCCGAGTAATTGGTGGGAGTGTAAGTGTCGGTCTAGGACGCGTACATTTTGCTTGAATAATTAATCATGCTCAGTTATTTTCAGTGTTTACCGCGTGTTCTAAGACATGGCGCGTTTGCGCACGTATCACATTGTTCATTTGATATTCCGTTTGAATTCACTTCGAAATCGACTTTCGAAGTCTCTAGACGTGATTTGGCCATTTAACATCATTTTGGTAAGAAAATAAAATCACTAATTTATTCCTAGTCTCACCTGTTTGAGTGACAAGCTTACATAATGGATACATTCTTACGAATTCTTGGTAAATCCTGTGATAAATTTTATTCAACGGAAGAGCATTTTATGAGCAATTGTTTGGAGTCTAACTAATAGTTTAATTGCTTTTATTTGTTACCAGTTTTCACTGTGATTTGGAGTTGCCACAACATTACTCGGAACATCAGTCGAGACGCGGCGTCACTGTTTTTATTGACCAGCCTTTCGCGTGCTCCAGTGCACTAAAATTATGGTGCTGCGCATGAAGTAGAGAGTGAAACTTTGATTCACCTATTTTTTACCAGCAAGTGATCCGTCTCATTTTAGAATCAGATAAGTGAATGGGTTAAGCATACTCTAAATATTAATTTGAAATGGAGTACAACAAAACTATTTTCAGCGCTAAACGATTTTTTTTCAACTAATTTAATACCTATATCTTACTGTTAACATTTTTACTACCACTTATGCAAACGTCAATGCCCAAAAGGACAAAGGTTCGCACGTTTGTGGGAGGCTATTTTTCAAGAAACAAGAGGATCTTTAGTTCGTTTGAGCTCTAGCCTTTATTGCCTTAAAACTTGCATATTGGAGAGTGGTCGGGTGCTGTTTGCGGTTTGTTTCTTGTGCGTGACGATCAAGTGCATAGAAAACGACATCCGATATTCCCCTGTATGCACTTAACTGTTAACGAAATGAGGACTTGAACTCAAACCACTGTAAAAAACTTCCTACTCTCTTGAAAACAAATAGCCTGATAAAAAACATGTAAATTATGGGGCAAAGTATGCGACATAATTTGTATGAAAGCAGAGACATACACTGTACGACGGCCCAAAAGAGCAATCCGACATCACAATTATCTCTGCAAAGATTTGCAATAAAATTTGCGACATGCAAAGATATTTGCCGTAAACATTTGCGACATCGCAAATATTTGATGGCCCTTCAGCGCCACCCAAATATTATACTGTTGTTGCATATTGATGTCCGTGCTTGTCTGTGTGTAGCCATTTAAAACTTTTTTTCTAAACGGTTTTACCATCAATGTGTAATCACGTTTAAATGCCAGAGTTATGATGGATAGTGTAGAGGAATTAGACACCAAATGTTAAGAGCATCAGAACATGATTACAAAATTACAGCAAGATTGTGTTATATTGCTTATAACAAACTTTCAAATCTAAAACTGAAGTTGTGTTCTACTTCTGAAAAGGGGGCATCCTAGACACAACATTTTTATGTTGTTTTAGTAAACGGTGGTTAGATGCAGCCAATGAACAAAAAACACATTCCCTTCGTCCTAGTGTTCCCTCGCAAAAGTATTGTAACGAAAAGCCTTTTTTGTGTTTGCTCATGGCTCATTGAAAGCTCAGAATTTGGCTTGTTCTTTTCTTAACCAGGACTCTCTTGTTAAGTTGGATAAGCTTGAGCAGAGCTCAGTGTGCAGTCTGTAGATCAGTCATCTACATTTGAATTATTTTGTACCACCAGAGAATGGAGGGCTACTCCCTTACATTCCTTCTTTTGAATACTGGGTTGGGCACTCTGTATAAAAACTAGAGCCCACTGTTGCCTGTCGAGGATTTGCGACTGGGTGTTGGCAAAGGCAACATGCTGTTTTGATTTGTTTCTGTTGCATGTACATGTATGAATGCCACTTCTGAAACATGTGGATATCCTGATAAATTCTGTAAGTTTATTTTCTATCTTCATGCATTTTTGCCCCGTGCCTCATCTCAGCCGTGCCTGTAGTTCCTGTAGTTCTGTTATTGTTGTATAATTTACTGGTTGTGCTGTATAATTGTAGATGCAGTAATGAGTATTGACCAAACTGGTTAAAGATGGCACTTGATTCGGTTACTTGCTATCTAGAGCCACAAGCTAAGTAAATTGTGAATTACAGTCGAGAAACTTGTTGGGCTGATTCAACTATTTTGAATCCATGCCGTCAAATTGTAAATATTTGAAATGATGCAAATATTTTGTTCATTAATTAAATGCCACAGGTCAGGTTGCCAGTGGCGAATTTAAAAATAGTTCTTTTCTGTTTAGTTGATTTGTGTGTGTTCCCACTACCGGGGGAGTCCTAATTAAAGGGATTTCGTTATAGTATCTTGTTTCTGAAGAGCCAACAATTATGAGATAGTTGGCCTGTATGGGGGGTTCGGGGGTTCTCGCTTATTAAACCTACCTGTGGCGTTTGTTTACGTGCAGTACGGTCAAGTGGTGTTCATACGGTCAACAACGTACGTGCAGATGAAGGTCAAGTCATTTGAGAAAAAAAATGGTGATTTATCGCTAGAATACATCATTACATATACAGTTAGTCACGAGAAGGAAAGTGTGCCACACAACGAGTCTCCCAGCCGGGTATCTGGATGAAGCCACTTTTCATGCAAATGCAAAATGTTCCACATTGGGGTTCAAATCTGTTGCTCCTCTCCCCTGCTGCAGGAAAGGGGCTCAAGCCTATTGGCAGGGAAAAGAGACACCGCCCCAAATAATGTTGTCAATTCTTTGAAGGAGTTGAAAAAAAAGTTTAGTCTACAAACAGTGCTTCCACCTTCCTAATTGGTGGGGATTCTTTTACGGATTCAAAAACATGTTTACATATATAGAAGTCTTTTGCCCACCTACTAAGAAATAATAAAATAATTGCTTTTCAAAATTAAATAAAGCATCTACGAACAGTGGTCTCGATTGATAGCGCGAGAAAAATTCTGCACAACCTGAGAGCAAATGGTGTTGAAACTTGAACCCCTGTACATTTTCAATGAGCCACTCACGCCTTTTGCTACCATGCGCATGCACTTATGCGCATGCGTGCGTAATTATGAATTTGGCGCAGGTGGTGACCCTTATGTCAAATGATAAAAAACTCACGGTCATTTTATGTGAAAACGAGCCTTGCTGTTTAGTTAACAGCATGACGTACATTACTAACCAAACGAATGCCTACTGTGTTGACAGTGGTAAGATTTGCCTACTTAGTAATTTGACGTCTTTTGATCAGACCCTATTGAATGCTTTTCTGGGATCTTATTGGCTGTTAAAAGTTATGTGAAGGAATAGAAAGAGGTGAAGCTGATCACTCAGTTCAGTTTCTGAAGAGGGGAGAGGGACAACGATTCAAAATTTTCCAACCACTCTATTAAATTTTGTAATACGCACAGCAAAATTGAATTAGAATATGCAGAGCGGGAGGCCGATTTTCTGTGCCCTTACACAGACACAACACTCGTACAGACGTGTGATAGCAGTAAAATAATAAATGTAATAACATTAATGCATGTAACATAGGCCAGCTTGAAAGTACCTGCGCACATACTGTCACAGGAATGACGTGCATACCCCATGCAACGTTGTGAGGGAACGTGACCACTTGTACAAACGAAATTTATTTTCCCTGTGGACTATAGAATGCGCACTAAAATCACTCGCAAAACTGCTTTCTGTATCAATACGCAGTATAGAGAGCCGTAACCCCCTTGTATTCTTTTCGCATGGCATTGCTCCCATCTGTCTTTCATGCGCATTGGAGCAGTAAGCCGTTGTCCAATCAGCTCCAAGAACCGTGTTGATTGTCCCTTTTTAACAAAAGCAGCACCCAAACGCAGAGGGGAACCCTCTCGTGCAATGTAAACACAACACCCTATCACTAAATCCATATTCACACGCTATCTTTCCGAACTTAATAATTTTGTGAGCTTTTTCGGCAAACATCTCTTTTCTCCGGTAAGCGTGGCCACATTGGTATAGCACACTGCTTCAAACAATAGTGTGTGCATTACTACCCCGTTACAAGACCAATTTAGCTCGCTGCAAGTTGGAATGACTTCAATCATGGGGGAGAGAGCATGGGAGTGTTTCTCGTATGTACTGGCGATCATCCTCGGCGTATGCTTCCTTGCTCTTGTCAAGAGTTTACCTCAGCGCAAACGAGAAGTGAACAAGATACCACCGGGTCCCAAAGGTTGGCCCGTCATTGGAAGTCTGATGCATCTTACAGGCAAAGGGAGAGATGGATTTCTCTTTAGTCTTGTTCGGAAGTACGGAGCAGTTTACAGTTTACGCCTTGGAAGTCAGCTTGTGGTGGTGGTGAACCGCTACCATGACGAAATGCGAACGCTGCTTCTTGATGGGCACGTTTTGAGCGAAAGGGCGCCGATAGAGTCTCTTGATAGCTACTTTAAAGGACGAGGTAAGTGGCCAGTGAAATTTTCCATACAAAGGTTTAACTTGCAAACCTACAAATTTAAATCTTCACATTTCTGTTATTTGTTAAAATAAGACTGACGTAAATTTTGCCTCTCGGTGTGGGAATACAGTTGCAAGTCTGGTGTATGTGACTGTACCAATAATACGTGCATTATTGATCAACGTAATGAGTAAAGGTGAAACAGCACCATTTCGACGCTCTTTAATCGTTTTACTTGCCAGGCCTTATACCAGATGAATTTTTTATTTCATTCATTTATATTCAGCGTTCTTTGGGGGACTATTGCTTATGATGCTGAGGGGGGGGGGCTACTTTCAAAACGCATTTGTTTCTGAACCAGAAATAAAACCCAAAGGTATGGCAGCTTTGGTCCCCGTCACCCTACTTTGCATTAGTTTGGCTGTACACATAATCCTTTAGGATACTTATTCCCAAACAAAAAAGCAAGCGAACGATTGCATCATTGCATTCATTCCATTGGTAGGCCTATATAATACTTATATTGATGAATGAGCTTATTATTAAGTCAGTCGGGGATATTTTCTGAATGCATGCAGTTACCTGACTCTAATTTCTTTTAATCTGGATATAGCTTTACCATCATAAAGAACAAACAACAAAACCAAGAAAAGCAAAATCAAAAACGGATAAAAAGCAACTCGGCAGTGATCTGGGACTTTATACCTCCCCACAAACCAAGCAGTACGGTACGTCCCTTCAGGTGCAGTTCATTGCAGCACGGAAACTTTCTCGTCTTTTCAGCTTCCAAGCTGAGTGAGACATTGCTTTTCAAGACTCGTAACAATTGAGATTAACCATCACCTTAGCCTGGCATATCTGCGATTGTTCATTTAATGAAAATTTGAAGTTAAACTCCGTCTATATAGTCCATGTAGGTAAAAAAAGGAATATATCTTGGCAAACAAGATTTGAATGTCAGAGTATTTATACCCTCGTAGCACTCTCTCTCCATGTCTGCTAAATTTTGGTTTTGAAAATAAAGCATATCTCATTTCATTTTTGATTCTTGATCATTTAGTCAGCTTTTTCGTGCTGTCCAAACAGAGACCTTATATAGCCAAAGGATCAGTTTAGCGAGAGGGACGTACGTTGTGATGTGCACAAGTACCGTTCGTCGTTCTTCATTGATGAGACAAATACATAAGCAGGCTGTATACAACCTGAAATGCGGCCCACTCAGACATCAAGAGCAGTTATGTTCTAATTTTTAGTTGCTGCAAATTAGCGATATGTTTCAGACTTCTCCTATTTCAACCAAACCCACTGTCCTAAATGAAATTTAGGAATCGATCGCATGTCACTTAAGTATAATATACTTCAATTTGCGACAAGAGGTACACCTTGAAAAATCCTCCTTTTTGAGTTAATTGCAAATACGTATTCCAAAACTCTTGTCCCCAAAGTCATGGTTGTGTCCCTGTGGGGTACGTCCCATTGTTCCAGTACCCCACAACCCCTTAGATATACACCCGAACAGTTGTATACAACTACAAATTGGTCCCCATACCGTCTTTTTCCCAACACGTGTATGGTATGGTGTATTCTTTACGACATATTTTCGCCTTCTTATTAACGACGCAGCCATACACGACGCGACGGCACGACGGCTCCCTTGCATAGGTTATGGAACTAAACGTGTTGAAATACAGACGATGTGGAGACCAACACAATAAACCGTAGGCTGTATACACTTTTGTAAAATCTCAAAAACGATACTTCCTAATTATCTTTAAATATGTTAATGTAAAGAAAGTATAACAGTGTGAAACACTGAAATCTTTCCGCCCGGAAAGCTGTCATTTTGGAGAAAAGAGAATTTGTTTATTTTTCCAACGATCGCCCGCACGGGTGATCTTTCAAAATATAATTTGTTTAAATATGTGCGTGGTTGGTGGAGCTGTCTATATTAACGGGGAACAATAAAAGTCGTCAACACGCCTTCGGTACGCCTAAACACATTATTAACTTACAAAATGATGTGAGCCTGTAATTGGTAGAGTGAAGGAGAACTTGGATTGGTTTGAAATTAAAGGTTCTTTATTATGAAAAAGGAGTTGAACTCGCGCGACATTACCACCAGGTCACTATCACCTCCTTAAATGGTGTATACTCTAAGAAAAAAGGCGCTTAGAGCTACCCACGACGTGTTTTTGTTATGCGTGTAGGAATGTATTTCAATGCTAAGTGGATTGCAAAAAAGTGTACTTGTAACATGGAAAAGCGTTTAGCTTTCAAACAGTCCCAAACACATTTCAATAAACATGTCATGGGTTAAACGTATTAAAAAGTCGGCATAAGAAGGTTTTTAAACTCTAAACCAAACCAGACTCAACAAAACAAAAAACCTTGCAAACTTTGAACAACTTCAAAAATTCCTGTTTTTCTGACAACGTACACTTTATGTTCGATATGCAATGCTTCAAGCTTTTGTAAGTGAATCAAGCGCTAAACTCGCGGTATTTGTCTCTTTAAGGTTATCGTCCTTTTATGCTTCTAACCAGAAGACCTCTCTGGGGTTCAAGTCTTTGTTGAATTTTGCCTAAATAAAGGGCTGCTGCTAGCATATTTGACGTACTATGCCCTTTCGCGCGGAATCAGTTTGTTCAAATTCCACACAACCAATAAAATGCAAAGCTACATAACAAATGGTCCGATCAGATACAGACGCTGTTGGGGGGGCTAGAGGGGGCTTAAACCCCCCTCCCCAAATTGTTGTCTTGCCCCTAACAAATGCCAAAAAAAACCAAAACAAAAGAACATAAAGGGCAGCGAAATATTGGATATACACTGGCAAAAGTTACAAGGTAACGTCACGTGCGAATGGTTTAGCCCCTTCATGGCTCCAGAACCACGTCTGGAGCTGAAAACTTCATCATAGCACACACAGAGCTGCAACTTTTCGTTCTTTGAAGTGGTGTAAGTTTAACAGTCTGATGTATGAACACAAACTCCCATTCTTTCTTTGGCATTAACAGAACTTTAAAGATTAACAATTTTTTTTACATTCAATACTCCGATCCCACATGCTGTTATATAGCACTGCTTTGCAAGTTTAGATCTGGGTTGGTCTAGCTCACAGTTTCTAAAACTACACAGTTCATTTTAACACACACCACGGGTGAATTAGTTTTGAAGCCACTGCAGGTACCCAAGCTTTTAGCTGTGCACAGTGAGGCAGAACTTCCAAATTCAGATGCTTGGAACTAAGCATCAGAACAAAAGCGCAATTGTAAAAGCGAAACTAAAAATAGGAAGCCCTCTCAGGCACCCATATAGTGCCAAGGGCATAATTCACCATCGATAAGCTTTTCACTCGACTTCACTATTCGGTCATGGCAATGAGGAAGTTGCTGCTAACATCTGAAAAAATAGCACTGGACTGAGTATGAAGGCACACCTTCGTAAGTAACGGTAGGCCCCGTGACTGTTACCGACTTGTCTTGAAAAAATTGTATATTAATTTTGTACCCTTAGCCTTGATTGACATCGTTACTGGTGGTCTTTCATCCGATTTTTGAGTACTCGACATTTTTTATCGATGTGACCATGCAGGATGCTATCGAAATTATTACTGATGAAATAACAATTTAAATTGGCATATAATTTGATAATATGGACAAAACGACAACAGAAGGATGACAACCTCAGAAATTATCACGAGATGACGACATTGCAAATTTAGGAAGTGATCATCCCCATATAATAATCAGAGGATAACGAAACTCCCTCTTTTATTTTCATTTATTTTCGCTGTTTTTATTTTCAAGCACTGTTATTTATATTTACCTGAGTGGCTATACAGACACTCAGTTGAAAAAAAAGTAACTTCTCTTCTCTGAAATAAACATAGCTGCTCTTGAAAATATTTTTTAAAAAAATCTGGAAAATTAAAAATAATTGTATTCGAAGATTTAAAAATGCATTCGAAAATAAAATAATAAATGAAAGCGATGGCACAAAAGTTCCTTTGTATAAGCAGATTATGCAATCACGAAAGAACAAAACTGTTTGTTCTCTTACCGGAGGGTTATCTGTAAAGTTTGGGGGAGGCTTCTCGTTTATACAGAATGATGAAGGGATTGTTACCACACACTGAGTTAACTCTAAAACTTGTACAACCAGTGCTCTTGCCAAATTCACTGTATACAAAATATGAAAGTAATATGCACAAAGATATTTTTATAAAACATCAGAGAACTATACATTTTAGTTTTAATAATCTCATTTTAAACCAACAGGAATTGCTGGTGCTAAATACAGTGGCGGCTGGAAAGATGTTCGAAAATTCACTCTCTGTATCTTCAAATCTCTTGGTTTGGGTAGGAGATGCTTTGAACATAACGTACTTTGTGAACTCGACTACTTATTGCTGGATGTTGAACAACATTTTTTAAATAAGGAGGACTTTGATCCAATGTTTTTATTCAATAACGCCACTGCAAATGTCATTGGATCTGTCGTCTACGGACAAAGATTTGAGCGTAACGATGAGGTATTTGAAACCATGAAAGCTGCACTTCATCGCAGCTTGAGACTCGTCCAGTACGGTGGAGCTACCACCTTCCTGCCCTTCATGCGCTACCTTCCTACCTTACCTGGTCTCAAAGCTTTTTACCGAGAAATGAACACAGTCATTTGCTGTCATAAAATTTTCATCGATAAACATAAACGTGAACTTGCAAACAGAGACGGTAAGGCCACAAACTTCATAGACGCTTACCTGGACAACTCATTGCAAGGAGAAAGCCCCTCGTCAGCCTTCCGGCATGACTCGCTCGCTTTCTTGATCAATGATCTGTTTATGGCAGGCACAGAAACATCTGCAACAGTACTTACTTGGGCAATTCTGTCATTAGTTGTCCACCCGCTTATTCAGAAACGCATCCACCAAGAGATTGACTCAGCAGTTCCTTCTAATAGGCAGATAACCCTACAAGACAAGCCAAACCTTCCTTATACCCAAGCAGTTCTTCTCGAAAGCCTGCGATATGGAAGTGTCGTGCCGGCTGTCATGAGGGCAACTACTCAAGACACTACCATCTCGGAGTTCGCGGTTCCAGCAGGGACAATCATCATGTTGAACTATCACTACGCCAACTTCGATCCTGACGTGTGGAAGGACCCTGATGAATTCAAGCCGCAGCGCTTCCTGGACAGTGAGGGAAACGTTATTCATCGAAAGGAGCTCATTCCATTCAGTATTGGTAGGCCTAAATATGTATTTTTTTCACCATTTCATCATAGACCGTTTCTGTGTCTTGTGGGTATAAATGATACGTGGAACTTCAGGTTTTCTTGCGGGATAAATGAGTTATGGGGAAGATGGGATATAATTATCTTCTCCACAATCACTTGCCGTTAGTGCAGCCCGTTCAATAAGGTAATTAATTTCTCTTCTTCACAGGCTTCAGACCAATAGGAAGACCGGATTTGCCCTCATTAGCATAAAATAAGGAACAGGAATATTCCATTTTACGTGGAGATTTTTGAGGGGAATGTAGCATTACTATGTACCTGGCTTAAACCATATTATTCTGATTGTAATTTCCATGGCGAGTGATATCATTTTCACGGACTGAAAACATACTGGGTTTTTTTATAATTGGAATTTTTACGTTTGTAGGTAGGCCTATTGCATGCCATTTGAAATACCCATTAAAACAAATAAATCATAAGAAAAACATTAAAAGAAATACACTACCTTAAAAATTTGGGAATTCAGTAAAAAATACAGAAAAAAATATCAATCAAGGCAGTTAAAGTAGATCCTCCCTCCGCAGAGTGGACAAATGACACCCCTTGATTTGTAACGCGTTGTGCACCATTATTGCAGCCTTTGCACGTGCATGTACATGTACATGTACTTGACTCAAGCGGGAATCGGAGGGAATCACTAACGTAACAACGCTGAGTCATCGATAGACCACAAACAACGCTGACCATGTTCAGTCTGACGGCTGGAATTTCGCAGTCCTTTCAAAATGTCGGTTTGTTAACACATAAAGGCCTGGATTTAGTGTACATACGTTGGCTTTTGGCATTTACCCTGAAGCAGGAAATGTAGCGTACGTACCACGGATTGTTTTCCACACTTAGCGAATTTTATACAACATGAGGTGGGCGAACAAGTTATGAGTCGGCAAATTGACTATGGCGTACTACCAAAGAAAATGCCTTCGTTATGCGCAAGAGTACAGTGCAATGTTTTAATCCAGTAGTTATCTAACTAATCCTTGGAATTAAATGGCTCTAAATTCTGCCGCACATTAGAGCTACCTGCTTTGCCAAATTTCATTCGTGACTAATGGCGTAAGCAGATAGCACCAGTGTGTGGTCAATTTTTCCAAAGGATTTGGTCATTGGTGACGCTGCGCCAAATATCTAGCGTGTTGATAATTTTAGTCACTCTGGCCCAAAGTCTCACAGTGTGCGGTGTACGAAACTATCTGCTTTCGGCTAGCGTGTTGAGCGCATGCGGGCTTCTGCCATCTAACGTAAAAAGGCAAAATGGCCCAGTGAACTCCTGTCGGATGATATTTTGGTAGATGGCTTTGTTGGATATTATCAACTTTCTTCCACTTCAAGTCAGGTTGCATAAAATTGGGATCCTTATTTTAAAAAATTTCATACACAATTTAAATAGACACACACAAAACAAAAACAAAAGTTACAGTTTGGTTCAAGCTTTTTTTTTCACTTCACTGTAAGTTACAACGTAACAAATGTATAAATAACTCTACATCTTCTTAAAATTGACACGTGTAATGTTATAGCCAAGAAATAAGAAGCAAACAATAAAAAGTGACCCTCATTAGCATTAACTGAGGAACGGGAATATTCCATTAGTGTAAGGGATGTTTGTTAAGGCTGTAAGAAACTTACATAAATTAAGCCTAATGTAATTACCAAAGGAGGATACCATTTAAAAGTCCGGTTGGGATTTAATATAAGGTTTCACAACTTTATTGAATGAAAGAAATAATAAATTTTCCTTATTTCAATGTCAGATTTTCTTTACGTGTATTTGTATGTAGGCCTATGGTACAATACCGTGTATGGATTTGTATTAAAATCAAAACAGCGTTTGTACAATACATAGAAGAAACAAGACTACCACGATAAAAAATGAAAATACAATAAAACAAAATCACGAAAAATACCGTCCAGCCCTTCAGCGTGATGGATGAAACCATATTCAAGGATTTTTGTCACGTTACCAGCATCCAGAAGATGGTACTCATTGGGATATTTTGGAAGACCTTAAAGACAAAGTAAATGGTGGCGTGGGAGTAAACAAAGCCTTGAACAGAGTAATGCCTAAACACAAGGTTATATTTGACGGACTTTTTAAAGAAGATGAATAGGCAGATAAAAGGAAGAAAGCGATAGATAAGAACAAGTAGAATTATGTTAAGAAACTTTAAAACCGGTTTGGTGATGCCTTCTGCGCAAAAGGAAATAATGACTCTTGCAGAATTCCACTATGGTTATCGTCATACCATTACGTGATATTTAGGACATTGACGATTTATCTGTGAGAAAAGATACTCGTGAAAATTAAAAACCAAGCAGAAAAGGCAATTCAGCACCCTTTGTTCCGACAATTATGAAGCCAATCAATTTGGTTTAATGTGTTTGAAAGTACTTGTGCTTGACACGCTGGGCTCGGAAGATCTTGATCATTTTAATTTGTTCTGTGTCAATAACAAGCACGGAAAAGCCATTTTATGTAGTTGAATCGCTGTTAAAATTTCGTTTGTTTTGTTTTGTCCGTGCATTGAGAGGTTCGTAAGGTTTCTGCACATGACTGCCATGCCTTTCACGCATAGTGTCGAACAATAGCACATAATCACATCATCTTTTTTGCTGATTAAGTTCTGCGTTTCTTACAGGGGTCTATTAATTCAATGGGGTTGCAATGTTGTAAGATTAAAAAGAACTCTCTTGGACTTTGAAGCTATGTTCAGACCATTAAGACATCAAACTTTTCAAAGCAAACACAAGCTACCATGCGCTTAAACATTTCTTATAGGCTACACAAAACGGTCTCTGCAGTACTGGGAGTTAAAAATTACTGTTTTAATATGCCAAACACTGTGTAAATCAAGAATGGTTTCATCCTTCACGCTGAAAGGATGGACAGTATTTTTCGTTAATTCATTTTATTGTAAAATTATTTTTGTGGTATTCTTGTTTCTTGTATGTATTGCGGCAGAAACTCACACCTCTTGTACCTCTTGTGGCAGACCCAGTAGATTGGCCTGATCGGAGATGGAATTGACCTGACCTGACCCCACAAATATATTTTCGTAAGGATGAGCGGCTACCCAGACGCAAGGGGGATATCGGCTTTATACGAACGGCGGGCTAAGCCCAACAAGAAAAGGAAAGATCTTCGACCATATATTTACAAATGTTCCCTCGTTGATGCAAAGGGTAAGCATCCTTCCAGGTATCTCAGATCGTGAGATTGTGTTAGTAGAAAGCGGAGAGCTTACAATAAGGCTATTAAGTCTGACCTGGACGCTGACTGGGAAATATTTAGAAATCTTCTTCGTACTTTAGACCGCAGTTTAAGGAAATCTTGTAGTGAGTACTTTCATGATGTTGGTGAAAATTTGATCACAAACAACAGCAAACCTTTCTGGAGTTATATAAAAAGACAGAGCTCCACTGGGATGCCATTTCTCAACACAGTTAATGCAGTCGCCATATCTACGCTTGAGAGAGCGGAAGCCTTAAATAACCAGTTCCGGTCAGTGTTTGCCAAAGAGGACTGCAGTACCCTGCTATCACGGAAAGCAAAGGAAATACCCAAAATGTCTCCAATTGCTGAAACAACTGAGGGACCAGACCCTGATCACATCAGGCCCAGGGTACTAAAGGAATGTGCTACTATTGTTGCCCCATGACTACATCAGATTTTTCAGAAGTCCTTATCCACTGGGGAACTCCCCGAAGACTGGCTGACTGCAAATGTGACTCCAGTTTTTAAAAAAGGAAATCGATCTTACCTTACAAATTATGGACCAGTGTCTTTAACGTCGAACCCTTGCAAGCTCCTCGAACACATAATCAACTCAAGTATAATGAAACACTTTGACAAACATGACGTTTTAAATGATTAACAACATGGATTCAGAAAGGGTAGATCATGTGAAGCCCAACTAGCATTGACCATCAATGATCTGACAAAGACTGTTGACAGAAAAGGGCGAGCAGATGCCATAATAATGGATTTAAGTGAGGCCTTTGACTGCGTACCACATCAACGGCTCGTACTGAAACTGCAACTAGCTGCAGGGATCTCTCGTTCACTGCTCGAAGAAAGTTGTTTTGAAAGGAGTCTCTTCATCACCTATAGCAGTAACCTCAGGTGTACCACAGAGCACTGTCCTGGGGCCATTGCTCATCATGATGTACGTTAACGACCTTAAGTCAGGAATTACATCGCATATATAGGCTTTATCAAGAAAGACAGGGAATGATGTTCAAGATCTACAAAACGACATAAACATGCTCAGCAAATGGGGGTCATGTTGGCAGATGAAATTTAACAGTGCAAAATGCTATACTATGCATATTACCCACAAGAAAATGCCTACGTTGTCAACCTACATGTATATGACGAATGGAAAACAGCCATACTTACCCTGGAGTCGAAGTAAATCATGATTGAGTAGGGCTGGTCATAGCAGTGTCACTTCAAAAGCAAACAAAATGCTTGGGTTACTCTGTAGAAATTGCCACAGCTCCTATCCAAGAGTGAAGGAGATTGCCTACAAAACCCTCGGTTAGACCTAAGCTGGAATATTGTCCTTTTGCCTGGGATCCATACCACCAAGATCACTAAAACAGGCTGGAAGCAGTCCAGCGGCGGGCGGCAAAATTCTGTATGCAAAGACTTCTGACCAAAACAGTGTTTCCTCAACAAGTCAAAATCTTGGATCGAAATCTGTGGAGAGCCATCAGTAGGCTCACTTTACTGTATAAATCCATCCATCATAAAGTAACAGTGGACACAGATTATTATCGGGGTAAATCCGAAAGAGAGGGGATTGTAACACAGACAACATCTTCAGTTTCCTTTTCCATTCAATCAGTATAAAACAGTACAAATTCTCCTTCATACCCGGAACCCCAGTGGAATGGAATCATTTGTCGGCTGAAATAAGGGAAGCTTCAAATATAGATACCTTCAGGACAAAACTTTCTAGTATTGACACATTATCATTATTAGAGCCAGCTAGCCACCACGCACCTACAAGTTAAATATCCTGTAGTGAGGTTGTTGCAGTTCTTGGAAGAAGGTTCAACTTTGCCGACTGTGTCGAGTAGCCGTGGTATCCCCATACAAACACACGTGCTGGTATGGCTGGCATGCAACGATGACCCTCACGCTTTGAATTCTGCCAAGTTTCTCCTTTATGCTTAAATATTACTTCCCAGTGATCAACTTAATAGTTGTCCATCAATGAAATGCATGAAACTGGAGTAGAGGTTGGCATCATGAGGCGGTACTGTTGATTTAAAAGCACATTTTCTTTGAAAAATCACTGAGTTTCGGATGACATTTTGTTTCAATATTTTGGTAGAATGACGTCACGCACCATCTCTTCCGTTCGTCTCTGCGTCTTTACATCTTGCGTTCGGTCTACATTACAAACGACCGTATGGAAACCAGGCTTAACAGTGTACGCAAACGTGATTACCTAAAATATACCCTCTGAGTAATTGGTAACCCCCAAAGTATTTTTTTTCAACCAGGCCAGCATCAATCATAGAACGGATGGTTATAACACATTATACGAAGAAAAACATCTAAATTACCCAACATTTCAGAAATAAGTTGCTTAATTTCAGGGCTCCATTTCTATTCCCCTCTGAAACCATGAAAAGATGTCAGTTAAACTATATTTTGTAAGTGCACATATTTAGCTAGAAAGATATACATGTATTTTTCCATACATATCCAATAAAGAATTTTTTTCAAGCATGTCGTTCACTTTAACATTTCTGTGCTGGATTTTTTTCTTAATGGTCAAGCCTACTGACTGTTATGATATAGTGTTTAATAAATATTTGTTTACTTTTGACTTTCTGGAATATGCAACAGCAGTACCTCAACAATATGCAAATGTCCATTGTCATAGCGTGTCGCACGTGTGGTCATGACGTATCATGCCTGATTGGTATGGCACAGAGCGAGAAAAATGAGGTTTGTCAATATACCCTCAGCGTTGATGATGAGCCAAAGGACCATTCTTCATCCTGACACTGGGGATTTCCTTATTTTCTATCGGTTTGAGGCCAATAGAAATCATCTTAAAATTAATCACAAAGCGTACAAAATGAAAAATATCCCCCACCTCTTCGGTAGGCCGCTCATACGGCAGGTCGAATTGTCAACCGTTTAAGTGCCACTGCCGCGTCGAACGCAAACAGAGAAGTACTCTGAATATTCATGTCCCTTCTCTTATTTTTGGGGTCAAGACCCCTCCCTTTTCTAAGCATTTTAGTCGTCTAGTCCACCAGTCGAGGGCAGCGTATTTCACACCACCGTATTTCGCTTTGGAAACAGCGGTAATGAGTTAGACTGGCACCCATATCTACCCCTGTTTCGCCACAGTATTGTGCAAACACTCTTTTGATTTTACTATAAATCCATTTACGGTATTGTACCATAGGCCTACATACAATAAACGTAAAGAATCTAAACATAGAAATAAGGAAATGTTTTTATTTGTTTAATTCAATAACGTAGTGAAACCTTACATTCAATCCCAAACCGTATTTTCAAATGGAATTCTCCTTTGATAATTTGTATTTACATAAGCGTTTCACAAATTTAACAAACATTCCTTACACTAATGGGATATTTCCATTCCTCGGTTTGTGTTAATGAGGGTCACTTTTCAATGTGGGCTTCTTATATCTTGGCTATCATATTACGCGTATCAATTTTAGACGATGTACAGTTATTTGTAAATGTAATTATCGTTCATTTCCGTTACAGTTGTAACTTGCAGTGAAGTGAAAAAAAAGGTTTGAACCGAACTGTAACTTTTGTTTTTGTGTGTGTTTATATAAATTATGTATGAATTTCTTTTCAATTGAGGATCCCAAGTCATGAAAGCTGACTTGAAATGGAGGAAAAGTGAAAAACATCCAACTTGAAACATGTATGCCTACGACAGGTCCTTCAGGGATAATTAAAAAGTTACTGGGTTAAACATTGGAAAATGTTCCGTGATTTACTTGGCCTACATTAGCCAAACAATTTTGCTCGTGCATTTTCTTATCTTAATCTGTCCAATGCAACAATTAATAATCCTCTTACTTAACTTTATTTCATATTAACGTAATGTAAATGCGTTAAGTCTCTTCTCAGACAGTAGCTAATGTACCGCCAAAGCGTGTTCTTATTCATGGATAGAGCCTGTTGACATTCTGTATAATTGATATGAAGGTTTTGTAATTCATCTTTGGTTCAGATGCAAGGTAGCCATGTTTACACTCTAGTTTAATAGCATTTTACGTAAACATCTCTTCGCTGTAGTTCTTATCACTTACCGATGGTATCATAGAAAAGTGAACAAATAAGCCACAAAATAAGCAATGAGAAAGAGCAAGAAAGGAGCAGCCAAAAGAGATATGAACGTCGAAATGAACAAGCACCAGTATGAGCAGATTCGCAATAAAACGAGCAAGGAATAAGGAAATGAGAGATTAGAAGAGCACGAAATTTAAACTCTTGATGCAAAATGGGGTTGTGATGTCAAATTAAAAGAACTCTTGAATTCTGCAAGGATGTCCAGACCATTCAGACGAACCATCCAAACGCCAGCTACCACGCGCTGATAGGAAAAAAAACATAACGGTCACTGGACATTACACTGTGCTAATAAATACGCCAGACACAACCTTATTAGAACCATTTAATTCCGAGGATTAGTGAGATAAATGCTGGATAAACATTGTACTGTCCTCAGGGGCATGCATAGCGAAGGCATTTTCTTTGAGAGTATATGCCAGAATCAATTTGCCGACTTGTTACTTTTTCGCCAACCTCGTCTTGAGTAAAATTCACACAAGTGGGGAAAAATCCGCGGTACGCTACATTTCATGCTTCAGGGCAAACGCTAGACTTGACTCAAGTCAGGATCTCTGTGACGTCTTCGTTTCCGCTTTGGATACACATCGAGACCGCGGGCCTTTACTTACTTCGCGTCCTCTTGCGTCCAATATTACAATGAGTTCACTTTGGAAATCCCGACTTGA